AGGGGCCTCCCCAGGGGAAAGATGGTCTGGAGGATGGACAGGGGCCTCCCCAGGGGAAAGAAGATGGTCTGGAGGACGGAGAGGGGCCTCCCCAGGGGAAAGATGGTCTGGAGGATGGACAGGGGCCTCCCCAGGGGAAAGAAGATGGTCTGGAGGACGGACAGGGGCCTCCCCAGGGGAAAGAAGATGGACACCCCCCTACCCCGCACACTGTAGACAAGGGGGATGAGATGAATGACGAAGAACTGAAGGGCCCCCAGGGGAAACAGGATGGCCAGAAGGAGGAGGAGGGGGCCAGGAAGCCCTGTGTCACAGTCTCTCCTGGTCCAGAGGGGCCGTCTACACCCCAGTCTCAAGGGCCTCAGGTCACTCAGGGTGGGTCCGACGGGCCTGGAGCTTGGACCAGCAGCCTCCCGGCGAGAAGCCCTCCCAGGACGCTGGCCTATGAGAAGGTGGAGGTGATGGAGTCTATTGAGAAGTTTTCCACCGACAGCATCCAGACATACGAAGAGACTGCCGTAATCGTGGAGACCGTGATCGAAAACACGAAGGCAAACAAGAAGAAGCTGGAGGAGAAGTGCTCTTCCGATGCCTAGGCTCGAGGGGAGAAAGTGCCTTTGGGCCACTGTTGGGAAGTGCTTGGATATTTTAGGACAAACCATATAAGACTGAGGGTTCTTGTTTGGATTAGACCATAGTTGGCCTGTCTGGCTTGCCAGTGAAGCCTTAATTAAAACGTTTTCTTTGCTTGCACATCCTTTGTCTAATTAACAGGGGCTTTGGGCTTTTAGGTGGGTTAGCCTTGCTCAGGGGTGCTCTGTTAACAGCCACCAAGCCATGCTCGTTTAGGAAAGAGACAAGCCCTTCATATGGGTCATTGAGAGACTCGTCAGAGGCTCAGAGTCTGGATTTCACAGAGAAACGTGTTAGATGATGGATTGGCTGGTTTTCTCTGCATTTCAAGCACAAACATTTGATCACATGAGGAGTGTTTTGTTAGAAGTAAAACAATTAAAGGTGTCTGTCCTGGTTTGGGTTCCCCAGAAGCTGATCTCGCAGCAAGGATTTGATGTAGTTTCTGGGGGGAGGGGTGGTCTCAGGAAGTACCAGGAGGGCAGGGAGATGGCGGCAGGGACAGCAAGGAGATGGGCTACCAGATGGGTCAGTCCTGTGGGCGGCTGGCGCTTGGCCCCCACCCCTGGGGGCTCTGGGAGATGGGGTAGAACACGCGCCTCCGAGTCGCCCTGCCCAAGGGTGAGGGAGCTGGTGTATTGACCCACCAACGCCCGTCAGTCAGAAGGGAGCACTGCTCCCAGGGCATTGACTTTGGGGACCAGGAAAGCCCTCGGCCGAGAAGTACAGGTGCAGGCGTTTGGACGTCAGGCATGGAAATACATGGAAATGGTAAGGGTCACGGGATGTAAGTGGGGGACCATTGCCACCTGCCACAGAGTATGTGCTGAATGTCCTTTTGTCTGAGTCACTTAGAATTTGTCACTCAGAGATTGCAATCCTGGGTCAGGCTTCAGAAAGCAAAATCAAATGTCATCACGTAGTTCCTCGTTTAGCAGTTAGTTAATTAACTAGTCCAACATTTATTAATCATACTCTGTGTGCCAGACAGTGTGGCATGCTGGTAAGGGGAGAGTTTTCAAGTTTATTAAGGATCTCAATTGCCGTAATATAATATACCATACTACACAATTGTTCATGTTCTCCTGTGCACACACATTTACTCAGGTACTTACAGTGTCACATCCTAGGAAATAGGAATTACTTGAAGCCAGAATCTTTACAAAAATTGTTATGTTGCCTGTAGATATCTCCTTTTTTCTACTAACAGTCCAAAAATAATCTCTTTACTTATCCAATTAAGAAATTACTCCTTCCCCATGTAGATACTCCAAAATACATTAAGCACAGTGAATAAATGTGCTGAAACGGATTATTGCATTTGCCTAAACAAAAGTACCTGGCGAGACAACTACACATTATTAGGGAAAATTGATGGTGTCATAAATTACATCCTATTATTTCTTTGTTAGAAATAACACAAAGAATACTAAATGGAGTCTCCTTTCCTTTCTGTTTAGAGCTTAAAAAAATCTTTCTCTGAATTCATTTGAGGTTTCAATTTCAAGAAAGAAATATGCCTTTGTTGTTCTTTCCAAACGATGAGTGGAGAACTGGCTCCATGGCACAGTTTTGAGGGACATATCATTTAAAAGCTTAAGAGAGAATAATGAAAACCATTAGTGGAGCGCAGAATGTGCTAGGAATTTAGACCAGTGTGTATATTATATTCAATAACAGCCACGGCAAACCTTTTCTTTTCCCCGTTAAGTCTTTTTATGTTTTTGGACCATGTGTTCTGTTAATATTCCTATTTAAAAAGGCGGGACTTATCTTTTTGGGAAGAAAGGTCATTTTTATATTTTATTCAATCAATGATCAAGAATGGATTGGGGGCCTGCTCTGTGCCACACATGGCTCTGGAGAGACAGCAGGGTACACTGGACGTGCTTCTGCTCTCAAAGTCACGACTTTCTGGCGGGAGAGGAAGGAATTGAATAAGCAGGCAGATAACTAAATAGGAGAAAACCACCTAGAGACAATACTACAGGGAGATGTGCTAGAGTGCCAGGGGTCTCCTTTGAGTTGGATGGTCAAGCGAAGACCCCATGGACGAGGTGACGTGTGATCTGATGACAAAATGGGCCCATCACGTGCAGATCGGAGAGAAGAGCATTCCCGGCAGTGGGAACTGCCAGTGCAAAGGTCCTGGGGCAGGAATGGACTGACCTGTTCAAGCAGGGGAAATAAAGAGGACTGGGGGGACGATGGAAAGAGGTGGGGATGATGGAAGGAGGGGAGATTGAGGCGGGAGGCAGGGGCCAGGTGAGCAGCATTTCCGGGAGGTTCACCTGAGCCTGAAAGCCGGGCTTGCAGTGTGAAATGCAGGGCTGCCTGCAGTGGACAACTTGGCGTCGAGTCAGGCTCTTTGTCTGCCCCCTGCTCCCCCCACCCCAGAGCCCCACTTGCTCATTTTCTTGGCACTCCTCTCCACTTTTCCTTCTTGGTTCTCTTTTTCCCCAGGAGAGCTGCAGAATGGGTTCATTTCCTGGCTTCTCTCCCGGAGGTCTCTGAAAACAAGCAAGTTTTTATAAAAAGTAAAACCGGGGGCTCAGAGCAGGCCTCCCAGTAGCATCAAAGACAAGAAAATGCCAGAGCTTTGCTACTGCTATATCAGGGGTCCTGGCCTCTTCCCCGACTCAGCCTCAAGCCCAGGACCGAGACTCTCCCAAGCCGCCTTCCCCATAAAGAAGCTGTGACCCAGCCCCCCAGCCCCCCATTCTCCAAGCATCTGAGTCAGTGACCAGTAACTGCTGTCGTATCAGCCGCCCTGGTGCTGACCCCACAGACCCTCCAACCCTTGCTGCTCTGGTTCAGGCCCATGCCCCAGGCAAGCATGGCAGGCAAGTGTGACTCCGCCTCAGGAGCTCCTGTGGCCGCAGGAGTGAGCCTGGTCCACACACTGGGCAGGTGGGCAGTGCAGGGCCCCCCGGAAGCAGCACTCATCCGAGACCGGGGGGCCCAGGTGTGTAAATACCCCAGCCCTCGCGCTTCTCTGTTGGGGTAACTCCAAGACATGTTGTACAGTCCCCAGTGGGTGTCAGCCCCAGATGCCCATGGAGAAACCCACTCATCTATGTGCCCTGAGTGGGACTCCTCCCTTCTGTGTCCCACTGTCCTGCTTCCCTACAAAAAGATGCTTCCTTTCAAGTAAATGACTTGACCTCGACTCCTTGTGTCAGAGTCAGCTTCTGGGAGGAACCAGCCTAAGACGGCTGGTGGGCATCTTCCCAGCCACCTCTCCCGCTGCTCAGGAGGCCCTCAGCCCTGATTTCGTCTTGAGGAGCTGCTTCTCCCACACAGGTTACAGCCCTGATGGGACCATCAAGACATCCTGCCTTCCTCTGCCTGTGGGTGGGCAAGTGTCCAAACCAGACCCATTGTTGGAATAGGAGATCTGAGTCTAGCGAAGCCAAGACTGAATGTGCTGGAGCTGGAGTTCTGACATGGTCCCCCAGCTTCCCGCTGTGCAGCCCTGTCCCCAGTCCTGCTGCAACCCCTGTCCCTTTTCCAGGCTGGTTTGTGCCGTCTCTTCAGGCTTCCCTTCAGTTCAGAGCTACGCTGCACGCTTCACACACGCTCCTTGTTTGTTTTCACTGGTCAGAATTGGTTTCTGTTATTTGCAACCCCAGAGACCCCAAAGACAGCTGCTAGTGAAGGAGGTTTGGTATCAAGGGGGAACTCGTGGAAGTTTGGATTAGGTTGGGTTGCCCCCAAAGCAGACCCTAGACAAGGTCTCAGGTGCAGGTGGTTCATCAGAGCGGTGATCCCAGGAGCTCAGCGAGCCATGGGTGAACACCCGTCTCAGCTCCAAGCTGGCCTTTCTACACTCCAGTGCTGGGGCTGGAAGCTGCGACCTCGTTCTTTCTCTGCCAGCATCTCCCTGATAGGAGAAGAGAGAAAGGCTGGAGGAGGGAGAAGGGCCCTGCTCCTTGTTTGTTCTCATCTCCTGGCTGTGCTACCTCCCCCTGGCAGCGGCAGCTCCTTCCCAGAGCAGCTGAAGCCAGTTCTCAGTTTTTCCCACATTTGCAGAAGCAGCCTCGCTACAGTCTCCTCAGGGGTCTGGGTCTTCCAGGGCGGGCCTGCCTACCAGGGACACTCTTGCCCCACCTCTGGGCAGGCGGGAGAGTTGGGTGGGTGGGTGGTGCCCCCTCCCTGGGACCCCACCACCATTCGACAAGCCGCCTTCACCTTCACCAAGTGTTAGACTCCTTGGTCCACATGGTGCTTTAATGTTCTCCTTTGCTTTTCTAATTAAGAAGGCATTACGTCTTTATACTCAGTTTTAGTGCTTTATATTCCGTTCTCTCTGTTAACATCACCAGTGGGGTTTCTGTCCCCTGACTGGTGAAGGAGAGGGAGTGAGACTGGGAAGAGAGGTGCCTGCACAGGCACCCACGGGGAAGAGACCAGGTGGAACATCTTCAAATTGTCCTGACAGGAGGTGAAGAAGCTGGGGTACCTGTGGACCAGCTCCCACCCTTCCTCAGGTGAGGGCGACCATGGGGCGCTGATTCCCTGGCCCTTCTGCTTGTGGTACACGAGGTCTTGTGTGCAGCCAGAGAAATCCCTGGCAGAGAGAGCATCCTTGGCATGTATAGCAACTGTCTACAGGTGACCTCTGGGGCCACCCAAGGAGATAGATACAGGACAGAGGTTGGCAAACGTTTTCTATAAAGGATTATAGGTTGTACAGCCTCTGTTATAACTACACAACTCAGTCGTATTAGCATGAAAACAGCCACAGACAATACAAAAGGAAATAGACATGATTGCTCCCAATAAAACTGTATATACAAAACAGGCAGTGGGCTGGATCAGGTCCTTGGGCTGTAGTTTGCTGATCCCTGCTGTAGGACAGGCACCAACAAGGTCTAATACAAAATCCAATTTGCATAGCAGAGGACACGTCTTACCTGGCATCGCTGCTTGTTTTTTCCTTCCCTTTTCATGTTGGAAAATTCCATTTAGCTCTCTCCTTGACTTGAAACTTATATTTTGAGAAAGGATCTTCAAGCAACCACCACAATCAAGTTTATCCTGAAACGGTTGTATCCCGGGTTTGCAGATGGGATGTTGCTGGTGAGAGAAGTCACCTCAAAACTCACACAGCAGTTAGC